GGAGATAGACGAAAACACAAGGGGTGGCCCTCAACTCATTAGAGTTGAGGCCAAAGAGGACGTGACGAACAAGGAGAACAGGACACATTGAAGAGAAACCAAACAGTAACGACTGTAACAAAGAAAGAACGCTCTGAGCAAGGGGGCAATAAAAGAAAAGGTGTTCCGGTGTTTCCACCGGGGCACCACAGAAGCAAGGTAAAGGTACAGATAAGCCGAAGGAGGCCAGACGCTGTGCAGTGTACAAGACGCCGTGTGCAATCTTCCAATTAAGGTCAGTGACCTGACGATCAAGATGGAAGAGGAACAGGGAGCGCGACGTGGCAGGCCAGTCCAGATTCCCATAGATGGAGTTAAACTTCTCCACGCAATGCGGCGGGACCATGTTCTCAGAAAGTAGGTAACGATAACAGAGACTAGTAGACATGTTTAAGACAGGAGCACAAACAAGGGGAGTAGACGAACCATATACAAGAGTTTGATACGAGTGGGAAAAGGAGCCATTAAGGCTCCGCCAGGCTAGTAATAGAGAGGCCCTGGGGTCAAACGAAAAAGGGCGGGAAAAGATATCTAGAGGATAGACACCAAAACGCGACACAAAAACAGGAAGACAAGGAGACGCACCAGCCAGAGGGCTAGGAGACAAATCTCTTCACCCACTGGCCAAGAAGAGCATAGACTTTAAAACGAACATCGACAACGAAGAAACCACCAAAGACAGGGGACTGGGTCACAGCAGAGCGAGAAACAAGTTCCCGCTTGCCGGACCAGAAGAAGGAGAAAGCCAGAAAGGAGAGCTCCTTGCACACCCAGGCCGGCATATGGATGAGGGAGGCTACATACCAAACCCGGAAAAGCGCAAGGGCATTAATAACAAGGGCCTTGCCACGAAAGGATAGGGAACGAGAACGCCAAGACTTGAGAACATGGTCCACCGCATCAATCCGGAGACGCCAGTTGACTTCTTCAAGGTTCCCAGGGCCAATAAAGATGCCAAGAACCTACAACCTGGAGGAAGACCAATCAAGTAGGACAGGGGGGGCAGAGCAACCGCTCCAGCCCCCAAGCCAAAGGCCCTTGGACTTGGCCAGGTTAAGCTTGGAGCCAGACACATTTTCAAATAAGGCAAAAGCCTCAAGCGCAGCCTTCATGGAATCGTCGGAGGAGAGCACCAGCGACGTGTCGTCTGCGTATTGGAAAATGGGAGAGACTGAACCGACTTCGGGGAAAGAGATGCCCCGAATGCGAGGGTTGGAAGGGAGATTCACGGCAAACACCTCGGCAACCAGGACATACAGAAGTGGCGACAGGGGGCAACCCTGCCGGACACCACGAGACAGGCGGAAAAAGGAAGTGAGATGACCGTTTACGTTTACAGCGCTCCTCACCTCACGGTAGAGGAGCTCAGCCCAGCTGACAAATGAGAGGCCAAACCCCAGAGTCTCAAGAGTAGCTAACATAAAACCCTAATCGACCCTGTCAAATGCCTTCTCCTGGTCGAGGGAGAGAATGGCAACAGGGGAACCCGAAGATGTTGCGAGGTCGACGACGTCTCGGAGGAAAGCTACATTCTCACCGATGTACCGCCCGGGAACACCACATGTTTGATCTTTGTTTACAATCGAGTGTATGACTTTTAAAAGACGGCCGGCGATACATCGGGAGGCGATCTTGTAGTCCACATTAAGCAAACTGATGGGCCTCCAGTTCCGGGGATCGAGACGGTCTCCCTTTTCATCAGCGCAGATATACCCATCCATCCCATCCCAGGGGAGGACATGCACCACACAGTAATCTCCTGCGCGGGAAATTAACGTCTCCAANGAGATGTACTGGACCGCGAGATTTTGGAATTTATTGGCGGGAAGCCGGGCATAAGAACTGGAAACCACTGCGATAACTTTATCAAAGATAATCAGACTGATCTTAAAGAAAAAAGAAAAAAAGAAACGGAAGTATTCGTTTCATGAGAGTCCTGATCAGATTTCCTGATGCCGCTGCGATATATCATCTCCTGAAATCTCGTTTTAAATCATTGCTTGCTGAAGAGTATCAATGTCAAGCATTGTACCGCCCTAGTGCGAAATAACAACTTCGAGATGTACTATTTTCTAAACAGTTACTGACCTTGAATTCACCGAGGAAGCCCTGATTCTTAAGGTAAGAAGCTAGGTAGAAATGTTCTCAGCGTAGTGAGGTTCGTGCGTCATGATTGAGTCTGACTTAATACAGTCATTTGACAGTCGTTTTTCATTTTTTCTTCCCTTTACTGTCTTCCTTCTTTCAGATCGCATCTCGCTATCGTGTACGACCCTAATACGGGAATCTTTGTGCAATGTTTTTAAATACACGGAGGTGAGATGTAAATTTTACGTTCGAGTGGCAAGAACAATGTCTCACAATTAAAAGCAGTAAACGGAGAAAGATAATGTTCCATTTTGAAAATCTTTAAATCATACTGCGTGTTTTTTCAGGTCTTTTTTGCGTCCTTGTTGGTTGGAAAATGCATTTATCTTCGTTGCTTAACCGTCCTATAAACAACAAATCTTGCGGCAGCCATTAGTCCAAACAGGAGACAAACCAAGTTCATTCTGCAAAGTTTGAAAAGGTGGGAAGAGACGTTGTTGGTCAATATGACCATTGTTACCTGAGAAAAAATACGTCACTAAGTTCCTGGATGTAGTTATCTTAATGATTCTACGAGCGTTTTAGCTCTCAATATAGCGCTCCTGTTAACGTATCTTCACTTTTTTTACACTTCAAATCTTTTCCACGTGTTGTGATCCTTCATAAACGTTGGATCATTCTGAGCTGAGTATACCCATAGGCTTTGCGAGTAGACGACTTGAATTTTTGTTGATTAATAAAAGAAGACCGGTTAAAAGATATCTGATCCAGACAACAGTAAACTGTAAATGAAGGAACTCCCCCTCCTCTTCTCCTTCGAAAAGAACGTGAAGGTTGAAAGCAAAACTGTGAAGGAAGGGCAGGAGCACCGCTCCATTTCTTTTACTGTATGTCGTGAAAGTGCTTTGAAATTTTACCTTATAACTCTAAAATTATAACTTGGGCTTTAAGAGTAAAACAATGACGCATGCAAGATTTATCAGTGTTTAATAAGCATTACAGTCGGCTGTTGATACAGTAAAAAGTATCAAAGATACTAAGATGTCAATTAAACTGCCAAGTGTAATATGGTGACGTAGTCAGTAAGATTACACTCATCGACAAACAGGCAGGTTACCCGACCAAAGTTAATTATACTCAACCACCCTACAAGTGTTCCTGAATCCTGAAGGTGTATCGTTGCAAAGCAAACAAGGTCCTACTCGTTTAGGAGAGTACATCACGTTCTACCTCCCGCACAAACATTGTTTTTGGTGTTTTTATAATGCTTGTTGACGAAACATAAATTCCGAAATAAATATAGCAACATTAAGTGCAAAAGAACATGGCACCATGAAGGACACAGCTTTGCCCTTACTCCTGCTTACTGGCTGGATAACTGAGTCATAAAAAACCGTGGTATTCTAGGTATTACACATTACTAAGTCATTAATATCTATTAATCTCAGCGGGGTAGGTTAAATCTTATTTTCAATAGTTATGGGGATTGACATAATAGGAAACTCATCACTTGGCGTGGGAGTTCTGCATTAAATTGCACTTGAAAACCAATATCGCACGAGTCGTGATATCGGTTTGCAAGTGCCATTAAACGCGGAATTCACGAGTCAAGTAATGGATTTTCCTTGAATCGCATAACTGTAAAAAAAGAAAACAACAACAACAACAAAGAAAACAGCAGTACTTATAGTTGTTGCGTATATGTAGATGCGATTGTGTTCACTATCATCGCCGGAAAACTGAAAAATCTAAAGCTCTCTTTATCTCTAACACTGTTATGTCCGCTACTCTTTACAGTACAAATGTAACCTATTGATTAAGTGCTCAAAAGACAAAGAGAATTCTTATGACAATTAACCGCTAAGGCTACGATCGCCATTTTTTTACGAAACAACTGCAGCTCTTCTAACGTTCCATGACCTTAATTAAAACTAAAATCCAGTCTCGTTAGTTGCTTGTGCACTGTCACCTGTGTTCCTAGGCAGAGTAGTGCCGTCTTCAGTAGGCTCAGCACTGGTTTCTTGAGGGTTTCCCTTCAGAAACTGGGTGATGTCAGCATACGTTGTTTCAGTATAAGCCTCAGGCCGTTTGGTCGGAGAAAGGGTCTTCAGGGAGGTGGATACGTCAGGCGTTTTCTGCGTCTTATGGAATTCACCCAAATCGGCGTAAAGAACTTCACCCGGGTTGGGCTTCTGAGGTTAAATATGATAAAGATAATGTTGAGTCCTCGAAAATATGCGTCGTTTCCCATCTATTACAAGATAAACGGAATGTTTACTACACGAGAAACATAATCTGTCTCCTGTAAAAGGCAATAATGATCAATAAAATTGAACGACCTGAGATGAAATAACACCAGAGAACACTAAAAAATCTCTGGAGGGAAGCTGAGGTAGTTTCAAGTCATGCCTATTTAAACAGGAGAGGGATTAAAGTCAGTAGGAAAAAATGTACGGCTGCCTGTGATCTAGGAAAACAAAAAAGGTAAAAACAAACTTCCAAAGTAATCAGTACAATAATTGGCCGGCAAACCTTTTTTGCTTTTTTTGATAAATCGACTTCAGCGTAAGTGGCGTCCGGTGCATTCTTCTTCTTCTTCTTTTTTGACTTGTCTGCGACAGCATACTGATCCTCAGTCGGTTTCTGCTCAGTAACTTTCTTATCTTTCTTTCTGTGTTTCTTTTTTGAGTGCTCGTGTCCAATGACAATTTCTGCTGGGGGCTCACCACCAACCTCTCCCTCCCCTTGTTCAATGACAACTTCACCTTGGGGTTGAGGTCCTGACATGGCATATCCACTTTTCAATTCTGCATATGGATTAGTCCCTGACAGGGTGCTGTGATTACTGGAACTGACAGAATGGTAGATATCAGTGTAACATCAAAATAAAAGTGCACTCAAAAATGAATGTTTCAGTATCATTAAATACTATTTCGACTTGAAAACATATTCTTTTCACCACGCACCATCCCTTCTCCCTGGGAAGAAACACATAGAAACTATTCTGTTCATTTGTGTTGCAATTTCTCATCTTAGTAATCTTGTTACTGTAACCAGCAAGAGCCTATTTACGTATTCTCTGTAATTTGTTCCAGTAGAACGTTTATTAATCCGCTTGAAACCACTGCTCGCCTCGACCAGCTGCGAGCATTAGACTTCGAGCATCAGATGCCAAGTTGTAAATCTATCAGTATAGGTAAACTGAAATAAAGTTGAAATTGAGAAAAAAACACGAATTTACTACAAATAAGGTTAACACAAACATACATATAAATTTCATATCTTGTAATTATTAAAGTAATTTTAGTACTAGGTAATTAGGTGTCCCGAATTAGCGTACGTGGTACGCTTGACATTTTGACACGGAAATAAAGTTCTTATCTTATTATATCTTATCTAACCGCGGTTTCAACAAAGGCATGACTGCCGACGTTATGCGTGAGATGGATTATGTTAAGTTTGGAAAAAAAAAAAGTTAAATGATAAAATCCACATCATTAACCATTAAATTTATTCGAGTATCTCAATAAACTTGTCCTTTCGAAAGCCTTAACGAATAATTAAAATTCAGAATGTAACACAAAGCATTTCAAATTGGACTTCGCCAAATACAATAACGGAGAGAGGCACAAATGAATTGGATTGAAGGGTGGACAGGTACGTTTATACAATCGAGATTGACTTTTCATGTCTTCTTATTTATTCTGTATTGGGTTATCAGTTGAAGAGAACTCTGGAGGAATCAGCAAATAGTTTTTTTCTTCATGCTCATTTAAATCAGGTAGTGTTTCATTGCAGAATACGCCTATATCTAAATGCCCGTATGAGTTTGTGTTTAACACGTCGGAATTGTTTATCAAAAGAAATGCATATTTGGCAACAATACAGAGGAAAAATAACGAAACGCATTTCGCTTCTTAGTCAGGTTTCTGATAATAAACGTGGAAAAAAATTATTTTAAACTGGTTGACTTAGAGGAATGCAGTTTTCAGGTAACACAATACAGAAAATAGATAATTCAATCCAAAAAGTGACAAACTGTTGTGTCTGTCTTTGAACTTCTTTGTTGCATAAAATCATTGTTAAATTGTTGTTTTCGCGGAATGTGGTTGATTATACCGAATGCACACTGAACTGAACCTAGCAGGGTTTAGATAAGACACTTTTTGAATATGATTCGCGAACATTGCTATAGCATTATCATGAAAAGATATCGACAACTGCGTTTTAAGCATATTATGATTACGCAACCACATGCCTCTCCTCGTAAATTTGGAAAGTATAGTCACTTGTAAATTTCTTCAAAGCTGTCCATTTGTACGAGCCCGTAGTTTGTCCTAAAAAAAAGTTATATGTGCTCATTCTAAACTGCACTTGAAGTGGTGCAAATATCTGCAATAATAAGTACACCTCTCTATTAAGTATCCCTCTTCTACAAGCACCCCGTCTAGAAGCCTTAATACCCCCCCCACCTTCCCTTCCTCCCGCGAGACTTAGCATGGTATGAACAATAAAAATTGAATTCAAATGAGAATAATAGCGGCAGTTTTTTAATTTTTTTATTTCTTATTTTATTTTTTTTTTATCACGGGGGCCCTTCAACGATTTTCAACTTTGTCAAACTTTAAAATACTTACAATGCCTGCCGTTCGTCGGTCTCAGTGTGAACTAGATAGGTAGAAAGTATAAAATGTCATAGAATAATCTTAAAAGGCGGAACACAACAAGTTTCGTAATTCCTATCCAAAATCAACGTTTAAAGCTCTTTTGCTTCTTTTTCAATTCATAGCTGAGGTTTATCTAGTACGTAAAGCCTGCTACATTAATATAACTCTTTAGCTCAAGATTTGCTTAAAAATTTGCAACGCCGTCGAACATCGGAGAAAGTAGGAACGGTGACAACTGCCGCTTGATTAGCTCATGTTGTGGAGCTCCAGACCGGACCAACACTCAGGGTCTTAAAATAACTGACGAGAATGTGCTGCCTTTGCTATGACATCTTCAAATGGTTAGAAATCCTGGTATTGTCGGATAAGGACGAAATGCCCTAGGCCCAGTCTCCTGCGTCTTCTCTGTACTGGTTAGCAGGGGACGTTAAAGAGCCCACACACTTGTTGCAAATACTTGGGAACGTAGCTCCCGGTGTTGTGGGAATCAGCAAGATTTCCTTCAAAAATATTAAATTTCCCAATGCAGTCCGGCCAAAGTCCCCCCCAAAATGTGGTAAGTTAAATCGGAAGATTTAAAACAGATACTGTACTACGATGCACAACTGGAATTTGTTTTCACTCATGACACAGGGTAACGAAACCATCTTTTAACTTGCTTAGCAGCGAAACATGGGATCAGCCGACGCAAAATAAAACAACACAACATTCTAAGCAAGATGTGAAAAAAATAAATAAATAAATAGAAATAAACTATATTTGAGTGTAACTCCTGAGTTGTAAGTAAAGTTTTATGTACTTACTCCTTTGCTCTTTGCGCCTGCACTTTCTTCTTTTGTGTACCATGTAAATGATTATAATGATAACAACAGCAAACACGAGCACTACAACGGCAAATACTACAATCGAAAGAGTTTTGACTAGAATAAAAAGAAAATCTCTTTTAGTTTATCTCAAAATTACATGTCTACAAGCGAGACACAAGCGATGGTTGAGACCTCATTTCACTCTCCTACAGGTGACGCTTAGTAACAATCCGTAATTTAGCAACATAGTTCAGATTAACCGAAAATAAGCAGACCTGACCAAAACAAACTTCACGACGTTCCTCTAGACGTCCCATCGCCTCCCTACCTTCGTTCCGAAAAAAGGACTCTTGCAATGAATAAACTAAAAAGTCAGCGAAACTCTGTATAGTTTACTAAAAACGTAGCCTGCGTAAGTGAACTAAAATGAGCGAGTATCTATATCCGAATTCCATGAGAGGGACTTTAGCTGGGTTGGTTGATAGCTAGGTAGAGAGGCAACCAGCAACATACATGTACACATATCTATATGTTGAAATCCTCGCCTATCCTGATGACGAAAACCGCATTGAGTTATTATTGTGGGCTTGTCACTAGTGGCGATCAGTAGAAAGATTCAAGGGAAGCTGAAGAACGACTTCCAATTTCTGTCACACTCCGTCCCAATATGTGATTGCACTATTTTCGAGGAAACGCAGCAGTTGATGATGAACATCGAGGGTGCATGTAATCGAACTTTCTAACAAAAGAAATCTAGGAAGAAACTTGATAGTGCATACATGTCTCTGTGGTACCTCAGTTGCAACTTTTGGCTTGATATCATTTGTTAGATATTATCTGATAAGGAGCCATTATGTCAACAATGTACTAGGTTCGATTTGCTTCCGTTTCCTTGTTGAAATGTTAAACGCGGGGAGAGCCCTCGGAAAGATCGATCAAAATGATTGGTCTTTACGGCGTGATACTTATTGACTTACATGATATGTGTTGGTGGCAAAAAGACGATTTGATGCCCTGAGAGTTAATAGGATCAGTTTAAAAGAAGATATCTATTAGACTTTAATGCCAGAATGCTAGTCACACCACCACCGACTTTCTGTGGTCGAAGAGATATCCTATCCAAGACTTAAGGTTACTTCCCACCTCCGCGGGTGTCCTCGGAAAAAATTCGTACGCGCGCTACTTTCATTAAATACTAGCAAACTATACATCAGAAGAGAGATTAATAAACGCAAACTACGATAAAAAATATTTAAGCGAGTTTTCTTTTAAGAAATGTGAGAAGTTGGTAAAGCGTGAATCAATCGAGAGTTCTTCTATTGAATTTATCGGGTATCGGATGCCGCAGCACAGCAAAATGTCTACGCAGTCTTATTCACAAGGCACCAATCGACATGATTATGTCAAGCCGTTTTCGATATTCTCCCATCAATTGCTTTGCCAACTGTGCAGGGTTGTCTCCTGCAAAGTTCGGGTAGGAGACGTTAATTTCCCACACACGAGATTACTGTGTGATGGATGACCTCCCCTGGTGTGGGATGGGTGGGAAGGTGAGGGCCATATGTTAGAAAACTTGTGTAAAGTTAATATGTTACCCTCATTAGATAAAGATGTATGAGTACGAGTGTACATTTTAACATTTTCGGATTGTCGGTTATTATTTGTAACGTTTAAGTACGGCTATTACACCTGTGTCTGATGCTTACTTCGAAATTAATTGTTGACCCCCTCACCTTCCTCGTCCCACCTTTCATTAAAAATTCACACTTTTTACAAAGGAGCAATTTCTACGGTACATCTCGACAAAAAGCCAGACATTACAGTCGACAGCTGGAAGAGATTACATATCAAATGGCCGTAAATCTTTGATACATTTTAAACTTTGTAGACTACAAAAACAACACGCCAAATGAATGTCAAAGTTGATCGCTGAAAAATATTGCAGGCGCGATCTGATCAAAGATGGCGAATTATACTTTTGATTTACATCAGCTTTCAGGACATCAAATCATCTTTTTACCACCAAGTTCGACTACATGCGCCCTTGATGTTAATCATCAACTGCTGCGTTTCTTCGAGAATAATTGAAATATGGCTGCGAAAAAAGTTCTCAAAAAGGGCTCAACTTGCGCTATTCAAAGATTCTCTCCTCGTTCATGTTTAAACGATACTCTGGGAAATTTCTAGTAAATTTCAAGTTATTTTAAGTTAGTCAGACAAAGATGTAGTTTACGGAACTTTGATGATACAGACTAAAAAGCGTGAGGTAGATGCAAATTTCACGTCAGCAAAGGTTATGAAATCAGTTGCACCAAAATTTTATTACTGATTTTGGACGTCCAGTCATGGCTTTCACTGCCCACGGAGGAATAATGATCAGAAGTAATTTTTCATCGGAGATATTGGGCCCTATAATACCATTATTTTTGGACTGTTTTAATCAGAAAAAGCCATCTTTAGTTAAGGGAGAGGTAAGGGAAGAAATGAAATGAAAAAGTTAACACAATTCAATCTCCTTGAGGTCTGATGGATATAGAACACAACCGAATTGATTGAATTTGCAGATGGCTTTTCGGTTTGACACAGCAGCAATGCAAAGCTAGGTAGCTAATTATGCAAAAAATGAAGAAAAGGGAGGTTTACCAGGGGGACCCTATATCTCCCAGGGAATTAATTATGTTGATTTATTATTTACACACATTTATTAACTCATGATACTCAGCATTTGTGCGAAGTTTAAGCCAACTTGAAATCGGTGAGTTGAGGTTTATCGGCCCCTGCCCGGTTTTCTCGTGGACACGCTCTTAATCTGTAACGTTCCTTGACCCTTCTCAAGGGAGCCGGTCACCTTACACATACTCTTGACTTACCTGGGATGTCTGATACATCTGTAATTGAATCAGGATCAACATTTTTGTGAAAGTGCCCCTTTCTGGCAGCTTCTTGAAGCATAGATGTTAATTCCTCTTGCCCCGTGGGTTTTTCGAATGAGAGATGAATATATATGATAATACTTCCTGGCCTGTGGAGGAGAAGCCAGAAAGTGGTAATGAGAATCACGCAAGGGCAGGACATGAAGAAGCCACTCTTGCATTTAAAAGACAAAATAAAAATATTGGTTCAGAAAGATACGGTGTATAATTGAATTGTTAAAACATTTCAGGAAATTCGTCAAGGCGGCCCTAAAGGTTGAGATTGAAAGATATGGTGTTACATTCCTGCCAAAGTTCAAGTTCTAATACCAACATACAAATGTTATCTCAACAATCAATTTTAAATATGAAGCGATTTTCAGGTTACTGTCAACAAAATAGGGTGCCTTCAGGAAAAATGGTCCTACGCTCGCTTCTTTCAATGTAACCACATATATCAATGGAAAGCCTATAAAAATATAGATTATTTAACAATGGTTCATGCTGTAGCGTGCACTATCGAGTTATGGAGTACGCGGGAAGTTTGGAGAGCATGAAAGAAGCGTAAGAGTTGCCCGTGGCGATAGCCGAGGGCAACTCTAGCTTCTTGAGTGCTCTCCAAACTTCCCACGTGCTCCATAACTCGACAGTGCACAGCTGAAAGTATGAACCAATTGTATTAGAACATAGCCGGTGGATTTGTGCATCAAATCCGACGCGAAAAACGGACAACAATATCAGTTGCAGCGAATGGTGACGGCGCTGATGCCGAGTCTCCTTTTCCGTTGTTTTTCTCTTTTTCTGCCTCGTTTAAGAACTCTAGCCCAAACGAAAAGGTCGAAACATTGTCTTCGTATTCGGACTAGTAGGCCGAGTTTCTGTTTGTATCCATTATTGTCGCGAAATATATTATTTTGCCCTCCGCTAACAATGGCCGCTCGAGCTAAAAAAAATTTCTGGCGAAGCGATTCTCTGACGCTATCAGCGGGCACTATCGGGATTTTGAGCACGCTTACGTACATTGAATTTGATTGTGCGGTTCTGCTGGCTATGTTCTAATAGTAAATAACAGAAGCTTTCGCAATTTTTGTATTGATAGTCACGCGCGAGTCTTTCACACTGCTGGACAAGATAACAAAGTGCGCGAAGCTTCTTGGAGACTCTTATTGGTTTCTGAGAAATTCTATTTTGAAGTTAGTCGATGGGAAATATTTCGGTTCTTGCCTCGCTCCGAGATGTCACGAGAAAAATTCTCCAAGATTAGTAAGAGCTTCACACACTTAGCTGTGCTGATAGCTGACGAACATTCTGGCCACTTTTCATGGAAATCCAACAAGTTTACATACTCTTTCAATCTGTTTACGAAGAGGTAACTCGTGTAAAAACAAACCTCGATCCTCAAAACCTTTCGTACCTCATGCGCGTGTCATGCCGCCGACCAATGAGATCCAACATCGAACCCCTGAGCAAGTCCGGTGACAAAGAACTCCTTTGAAATTTGCGGGAAAGGTCATTTCGCGAAACGGGGAAAATAAATTTACACTAAATGGATTAACGAAATCCAAAAATTTATCGGGATATAAACAGATGGAAAAGTGGGCAATACAGGCTAGGGAAAAAGAAAAATCAAACTTCGATTCTTTCGAAACAAGTATGTGTTCGTGACAGCCGTCTTTGAAGCCGACCATAATTGCCGATCTGTCTTCAGTTTTTACGTCACACCTATTTAACATAATCGTTTTGACCGCGCGTTGGATGGGGACACTAATTTTAAATACAGCTATCAACCAGAAAACTCAGTAAAAAATTTCGTGTTTTAGATATTTTACTGCTCTCTCCAAATAAAGAGCAAAAAAACCCCGAAATTTTGAAAATTTTCGCCAGAGTTTGTTGACAAGTTTAGGTCTGACTAGGATAAATGTTTTAATATTACATTGACTTTCCTTGACATACATTGTATGTGTGGTACAGTTTTGAATAAAGTGCCACTTCCACTTCTCATCAGCATCTCTTTTGGGGTTAGGTAAAGCCGGATGACACAGTATTAAAAAAAGCATTATTTCTTCTGTATGCAATTTTTTTGTTTTTCAGTGATCTTTCTCTCCGGGAGAAAAGAACTTAAGATTTACTTAACTCATCTGGGTATCCTCTATTCTTTAACCGTATTTTGAA